CATATCCGAGAATTACCATGATCAATGACTTTAAGATCATTGATTCCAAACTTCCTTTTTTACAAAAAAATACACTCTAAATGTGCACTACTATTTTCATTTTACATTTTTGTACATTTATTGAAGAAAATGCACTTCAACAACATGATACAATCTTCCTGTTCCTGTTTCATTAGATATTTTCCTGGACCCATTGCCAAGATTCTCCCAGGGCACATCCCTCTTCCTAACCAACCTGCCTCTATTCCTATTTGTTTCACTTCTAATTTCCTCCTAAATAGTTTTAACTTCGTATCCAGTATGCTTGGCATCGTCGCTAACGGATCTCCTGACCTTGGCCTCCTTCACTGAACTTATCTACTTTACTTTGGGTAGATCGTTTTAATGATGTTTTTTTCTTCAGCCCACAATGATTTTTTGTACTATGTACTATGCATTTCTGTTTGTCTCTGAGGACTAAATCTCAGGTAACTATGTCAATGGTTGTAATCTTAAGGCCCTTGACAATTTATTTGCAGAAATGCTCATGGGCAACTTGACCCTCATGGCTCAAAACACTGCAGAGTAAACCCAATAGTGTTTTTTCTAGATAACTTTCCCTACAAGACAATAATAAAACTAAATAAACATGCAAACTTTAATCATGCCTCAGGAACAGTGAACACCCCTGTGCTTCCTGTTACATAATTGTATTCATCTTCACTACGTGCTTTTGTGTAGGTCCCCTCGCCTGCTTTGTAAGTGTTCCCTTGTGCTTCACTGCAGTTGAAAACTCGTCTGTGACTTCAATGACCTCACAGTGTTTGATTCTCATTGCTTTTGAAAATCTTAATTCTTAGACTAGTAGACATGTGTGTATTTACTTTTCAAGAAAAACAGTAAGTCAGATCTAACCATACCTCCGACAGAAAGGATTTCAATCATTTTCCCCCAATTGGACCACAGAATGTTGATTTTCTCACATATTTTTCTTGATTGTTACACATCTGATTTTGGTATGCTGTACTGGGTGTATCTGATTTTTTCTTTCCTCTCTTATTCTGAGGATCTTGTCTAGAGTTGGTGGACAGTTTTGTTCTGTGATCTCACTGAGCCTTTCTTGGATTTCAGTCTCACTTAAGGGTGTTTTCCATTTTGTACTTCTACTGATTTTTCAATTCTACGTTACTTACCTAGCATTCAAAACAAATCTTAATACTACATCTGTTTCTTTGTTTTTAGTAACCACTTACTTTTGTAACCAGGATGGTAGTTCATTACGGTTTTTACAAAACAAATGTTTCCTTAATCCACTAAGGGCTAATCCTTAAGTTAGGCTTAAGAAATCCTGTTATGTTATGGAGACATTTAAGTACACATAAAAATGCAGGTTGAATTATTTTGTGGCAATTTAAGACTCATACACACATAACCTCAGTCCTCCAAATATCATGGTGTGGTGGTTTTGTGGGAAAAGGTGAGTGGCTTCACTTGATTATTATTTTGAAAGTTCTTACCTGTACCGTTGATCATGTCACAATAGCCTGGCCAATAGGTGAGATTCCTAAGGAATAAAAAGAAAGATGAGCAAATATTTTCATTTCAAAAGCACTTTTCTCACATTACTTTTTCTATTGTGATTCATTGCTTCTGCTATCATAGTGATGATTAGATATGAAACCTGCTAAGCTTAAAATGTTGTAAATCATCCAACCTGTATTTTGTCTTCACCTTTCGCTTTACTGCAGTACATTAAGTACCTGATACCATTTAATGCCCAAGTTATACAATAAAAACTACTCAATGATAATCTCATGGCAAATAACTCAGGACATATACAGTTCTAAAAGAGGAAATTGGGAAGCATTTATCAGAAACATGGAATCTACTTGAGGAGCTTGTTTCCAGTGAGGGAGGTGATTCTTGAGTATGGTGTTGAGTGTTCATACCAAATAGGAGGAAAGTGCTAAGTGGGATGTTGACTTAAATCTCAGCATGAGGAGAGAGACAGACAGGAAGAATGAAAGAGAGAGTGAGTAGATTCATTGAAATCAAAGCATGAAAAAATTCAGTTTTTTAATTCCTCCCATTTAATTGTGCATGGACAGGAATTCAAGGACAGAGTGTAGTAGTTCACACTTTAGCAATTAAACTTTCACTCCCTCTCTCCATCTATACATACCCCAGTATAGGATCAAATATGCACTTACATTGAAAATTTTAGAAATTATCACAGTAGAAGACACACTGCCACGAAGCCCCCTCCCAACACTCTTCCTTGCCTCAGTCACTTGGGTCCCATCACTCTTGCACTTTCTGAAGCAGTCCTGGAAGTCCTCTGATATTTTTATGATTAAAAAAATTATCCTGAATGCCTGGGCCAAGTGCCATCCAATAGAAAGGCAGGCTTCTCCAGTACTGCCGTGTACCCTCATTCCCGGGATCAGCACCCTGCGATCTCTGATCCTTCTGCAAAGTCGCAATGCCCACGAAAGGGAAACAGATCCAGGACAGCATGGCGGCCCGAGAGTGGAGCTAAAGACACATAGGAAGGAGGACTCCGAAGCTGCTTGAGAAAGTGGAAAGAGTGATGGGATAAGAGTGTTTACAGTGAGAGGCAGTTGGGCAAAAGCGTTCATGGCACTGTCTCTTATTATAATATTTTTTTTAAAAATTGAATATTCACTATATTATGATCACACCTTGTATATGGAAATGATAAAAAGCAATAGTTGATTTTATGTCATTTTAGATCAGAATAAACTGGCAATCATGCTCAATAATATCATGAGGCATCAAATCAACCTTGTCATTAAGTGGTACATGGTTCTTTTTTATGTATTTAATACAGGTCTAAGGGTCTCACTGCACAGATTGGACTCATAGTGATCCTCCTATTGTCAGCCTCTCCAGCCCTGGGATCATAGGCGTGCGCCACCGAGCCCAGTCTCAATCACCTTCTCAGCATGCCCCGTGGTGGGGCTGGCACAACACACTAGGGATCAAATCCCAGCAGCCACATCTGCCTAAGCAGGTGCTTTCATCTGCTGAGCTATCTGCCCAGTCCTGATAGTTCTTAATCTAATGAGAAATATTTAATACCTGTCCTCAAAATGATCCATTATTATAATATTGAAATGGCCTTCATTCCTCAAAATATAGTGATGTCATGGGCCTCAAAATAAACACTGAGAAGTGTTTGCCCCTTTACCCAACTTTTCTAAAAGATCTTTATAAATTCTTTAGAAAGAATGCTTGGTAAATATTTAACTGTTGAATGGCATCATTAGGGACTCAGTGTGAGGCAGTAGTTGTATTGATAAAAACATTGAATCTCTTTCATTTTTAATCTCTTTACTCTTGGTCAGGATATAACTGGTCCAAAGGGCCAGTGTTTCTCTCCTGCTATTTATTAGTGTTCTTCCTGCTCATGTGAATCCGTGAGACACCAGGCAGGAATGGCTTCATGAAATCATTTTGTTCTTTTATCACTTCAAAAGTAGCTTTTTCAGTTTTTTTTTTTTTTCATGAATGAGATGAGTGTACTGTTCCACTGGCTGCCCAACAAGATGGGAACAGTCCTTGTCATTTCTCTGTGAAGAGAAGCGCTGGCTGAAGGCAGGACAAAGCCTAAGCGGGACACGTGTGCCACAGTGCAAGCGCAAGCTGGCGTCCACTTCCCAGCACACAGGGCTCAGGGTCTGACACCAGGGACAGCGGTGGCATCTGGGCCTGGTCTCCTCCAGCCCCCCACACGTTGGAGCCTGTGCCTCGTGAGCCGGTAGGCGCTACCGTGCCCATGGAGACGGAGGGGCACGCTATCTGGATACTTACTTTTTGCCTTTGTAAGTGTCAATTATGGCCACTTTGCTTATGTTATCTTTTCCATTGAAAACTTTATAAACTCCATCTACCGTATTATTGTACTGAAAAGACAGACACAAAATATTGCTTATAGAGCAAGTCATTTTCCAAGTCATAGAAAACACTCATTATTCATAATTTTATGTCACTTGGAGCATGCAATGCAGTAAGAACTTCTGCGTACTGGGCTTACAGGCTTTTAATGTCTGAAACATAAAAATTTCCTAGAAACAAGTGCTAGATGCTGAGGCACAGTAAAAAATTAGGGGTGCGAGTTGAACAACTCTACCCTAATGAGGCAGTGAGGTTACTGGGCTCACCATCCCCACCATGCCAAGGCGAGAGCACACTGGACAAGCCTGCGAGAGCAAGGACACATTGCTAGAGCCTTCTTAAGCATTAGGATCTTTAAGAAGAGCACCCTAAGACGATAGTAGGCACACGAAATTAGAAACACAGCCAAGGGAAGCAGTTACATAATTAACTCTCTTATCCTCTGAGACTTTCCATATTAATATTTAATTGATGAGTAATCCTCACATCTAAGTACTTTCTAATGCTGATTTTTAAATGACTATTTTTTATTTTTCCAAAAAAAAAAAAAGAATAGTGAAAAAATAAAAGTAAAAGACTGAAGAATTAGAAATTGTAATGAATATTCACGTAGTGCCATATGAAACACCAAATCAGCAGTCAGGTTCTCTACAGCCATTTCTTTCTTTTTTTCCCTGTGTTTTAGGGAAGGGTCTACAGGGTGTTCAGGGTCTCACTACTAGCTCGGACTCAGTGATTTGCCTGTTTGCAGCCTCTGAAGAGCTGCAATTGCAGGCGCGCATCACCACTCCCGGTCTCAATTGCTGTCTCAGCATGCCCTGGGGGAAGGGTGGGCACTGCAGCCTGAGGATCGAATCCCAGGCCCCTGTGCCTGCTTGCAGGTGCTTGAGTCTGCTGAGCTATCTGGCTGGCCCCCTACAGCTATTTCAAAGCACGGAGCTATAGCCAGGCCCACCAGCCCACCGGCATTCGCTCCTTGGTTTGCTTTCTGGACTCCGTGACAGTCGTGGCCCACAAGTTCCTCATCTCAAACTTTGTTAAATTACAGTTCCTGACTTGCTGATCCACTAATATGTGCAAGCTTTTTACATAAATAATTTGTAAGCAGCATACAGGAGGTGAAATGATAGGATAAATACCTCTAACACAGAAAATATAGTGCTGAGCTTATGCAAAGAGAAATCATAATTGAAAATAATGTCCAGACATTTACAGAGTGACAATCTAATTTTAGACATTCTGTATATTTTAAGAGTAAAAATAGGATGATTTTAAATTAAAATTATAGTAATTTAAACTAATTGGGTACTTATCCCACTAGGAAAACTGAAATGATGAGCTGGAGACTTCATCCTGGAAGTCATATCTGAACATGGCTCATACTCTAAATCATAAAATTATGCCTGCCATTGGGTTTATCTAATTTAAATATAACAATACAACCATCCGGGTCAGGTACTCACTGGGTAAAACACACCAATGGTGGTAGAAACAGGGTAGGGCACCAGACTCAAGAATGGATCCTTGTAGCCCCACAGCAGTTCCTTCAGAGTTCTGGTTTGGAACATAGACGACTTGGACTTCTTGATGAGGGAATTGAGCACTGATTGAATGAAGCTATTGGTATAGAGGTGGGGTGCAGCCTACGAGTGAAAGGACTATGTGAGATGCCGTGACAGCACTGCGATTTAACAAGAATAAATGGGTGAAGCAGAAGAATGTGGTTTAATGTAAGACCCTGGATCTGACCCCTTAACACTGTTATCAAATCAGCCCTACAATGAGAGTGTAAATCATATAACCCTGGATAGTGGCAATTTTCTGCCCCCTTGCCCGCCACGTCCAGGTTCCCTGTTAGCTGGATCTTTAATGACGGGAAGAAAGCAACTTTGTGGTTGTTATGGTTTTCTCATTGTTCCTCATGGCCTTAACTCCATTCAGAACACCAACATGGAAAGTATTCTTATAAAAATTACAATATAATAAACATAAAACTACTCTCGCAGGTATGGGCGGGTGAACTCTGCAGTATTTAGAAACATAGCTTTGCTGCCTCCTACTCACTGCCACGGCCAGGTTGAGGACTGTGAATGTGTCGTTCTCTGTCCCCACGGACATGGAAGGCACAAAGATGGCCCCGTTGGGCTGCACGAAAGAGACTGTGTGGTCCTTGAGGTCCTGCGTCACATTCTCCTTGGCCAGATAGCGAACTCTGAAAAAACAAAAGTCAACAAAATTCAGACAGTGTGTCATATGAATGTTTGATTTCAATTGCCATTCATCCATTCATATGATTTGAATACACAGAATATATAGACTATGTTAGAAATGATGCTAAAGGTGGGGTTGAGATGACACATCGGCAGGGCAGGGTCCCCAGCAAATTCACCAGAAGGCTTCCTCAGGTGGCAAATGGGAAACTAGGAGAGTTTGGGAGAGGTGTTCATGGGGAGCCTCTGCTTACGGAGCACACAGGAAAGGAGAACAGACAGTCAGTGCTTGGACAGCTCCCAGAGGGGGAGGGAGGAGCTTCCCTCTGGTAACAAGCCTGCATGCGTGGTCTAAACTCCAAGCACAAGTTCACTAGGAAAGCAGGAGGAGACAGCACCTAGACAAGAAAGAACATGACACAGTGGCAGAAATGTAAGCATCCGAGTGAGAACGGTGGAGACAGAACACAAAGCATGATGGGAAATGCAATCTCTGTAAGGGCCAAGCAGTGAACACGGTAGAATCCACAGGGGTGTGGCTCCTCCGTCCTCAGTGCGAGAGGAGCGAGGAAGTACTGTGCACCTTCTTAACCGGGACCCTCCGAGCACACAGGCCAGCTAGCACCACGCTTTGTGTTCGTGCACGCACGGCCTGGGTGTTAGTTCTACCTTGAGCATTGCGAGGGTGCGAGGTGCCAGGTTCTCTGTAGGATCGTGGGGAGGGCAGGTAGCGTGGAAGAGCAGTTTGCAAACATGAGTAGCCACTGAGATTAAACAAGCTTTACGGGGCTTATTGCGTGGTCATACGCTTGAGAATTTGCCATGGGAGCTGAATAGATACGGTAAAGAATAGAACAGCTTCAGACCAAAATTTAAATAAAGTATCACTTTAAATATATAATAGAAATGTGAATTCCTACAGCAAGGGATTATGAACGTTTTATATTCACGAATACCACCTGGCACATTTTGGGTTGTATGCTCTTAGTTCTTTATGAATAAATTAATGTTTCACATTATTTTTAAAAGGCTCTCAGAAATGCTAGAAAAATATTTACTTTTAAAAAACATCCAGAAAACCTTTTATTCTGTGAGTAGATACACAAAGAACCTAAAAATATGAAACACAAAATGCAGACATGTCTTCTCTCAAATAGATATCTTAAAGTATATGCATGTAACATTTGAAAGCAAACTACTGTAATTTTGAGAACTTTAAAACATGCGTGATAACTGGAAGGACAAGATTCCTGAACCAACTTTATCTTGTTAAATTACACCTACCAGAGGCTACCAGTAGATGGCACTAAGAGAAAACACTTGAAACCGAGCTTAATCTTCAGAATATAATTTCCAAAACACCAATTTTCTGTGTAAGTTTTGGAAATTGTTGGCTGATAAAAGCAAGAGAATCAGTTCTTTATGTTGACCGATATTTCTTTCCCTAATTCCAGCCAAAGCAAAGATATCTTTCCGGACGATGTAAGTAGAACCTAAGAATATTCTGAAGAGATGCCCGTGCTCATGGAGATGGTGTGGGTGGGAGAAGGCTGAGCAGCTTCGCGCTTTGACCCTTGTCAGCGCTTGTCCATCAGATTTCCCTCCAACTCACGTTAGTGGGCGTTGGCCCTGTAAGCCCGGGGTGTGATTAAGGGAGAGCTTCTTGCAGTTACAATCTCAGCTGCTTTCAGGGTATGACTGCGAAGCAGAAACTTCGCCTAAACTAAGGCAGTTGGCCAAGCAGTGAAGCCATCATTTTGCTGGTACAGTGAGAAAAAAAGGACTCCCAGTTAGTTAGGGATCTCTTTAAAACTGTTACACAAAAAAGGAAATTACCGCCTATAAAATTTAGCTTTAAATTCAACTTTTTCTCCTATTCTCCTTCCATTGCTTCTGTAAGCCAGAAAGGGAATTAAACTCATAACTTTTTGCCTCCTACAGAGAAAGCTTAAAGACTAATAATATTAATAATAAATTTTTTATTAGTGGTCACCTATCAAGGGAGAATTACATTCAATAGTACTATGTTTATGTTTCCTCATATTCCAAATAATATTCTTATTAAAAACGAATAAAATCCAAAAAGCAGAAAATATGATGCTCTCAGTTCAGGCGGTTACTCTCACTTCTCACACTCATTCATTTCATTCAGGTTGTAACCGTGTGAACTTCTCAGCTTAGGCTTTGCTTGAGTCTCCTGAGAATCCCAGAGTCACTGGTGCCCGTCATAGAGAAAACATTCTTGGGAAACAAGAGGTTGATGCCTGCTAGTAATGGAAGAGCCGTAGGACCACGGGAAAAGCTGCCGTCCAGCATAACCATTGTTCCTGGTAACAATAAAGCCCAAATCTCCTTCAGCAACAGACAGCCGGCTCAGGGCCATGCACAAGGCAAGCTGCCCCGGCGCCCTCACCCACCCCACGGTGGTGGAGACGCTGCCCTCCAAGCCACTAGCAGCTCATCGCAACTTGAGGGTGCCTCCTGCATCTAAAAACGCTGCTTAGAAAAGATGGGAAATTATACAATTATACAACATCAAAACTTGCAACAATGAATTATAAAAACAATGACAGATATGAAATTCTGTTATTTGCCTAAGGCATTCAAGTAGTTTGAATTATCCTTCAGGGAAACTTCACATATTTGATACATGGGATTAATAATCTTTTCATGTGCGGATAAAAATGTTCTTCATCTTTAGAGTTCTTTTTTTTTTTTTTTTTTTTTAGGACTTTAGTTTCTACATTAAATACTTCTGTGGTTGACAGGGGAATCTACAATTGAAATAGAAAATGTCTTCAGCCCTGTAAGAGCTACCAGTTTCTGCATCTGTGTGAACACAGAAAGCCTCTTTAGATCTGTCAGTGTCTGTTTTTTATTTACAAAGCAAAGGTCCGTGCCGAGCACTTCCCCTACTACTTATGCTCTGACATTCTCTTCAGAATGTTGAATATGAGGAGATGTAGGAGGAAGTGTACGGCACAAGTAGTCTCAGAAGATGAGAATATTTAAGAATTATACCACGAGATAGACCCGACTACCTACGGCATGACATGAAAATTGCTTTCAACACAAATCCCTAGCAGGTGCTATATTTAAGGAGAATCAGTTCAGTGCCATGGTCCTCAAAAGTGAGAGCATATCAGAACGGCCAAGAGGATTTCAAAATCCATTTGGGGGCCCAAACTGGAGGCCTCAGACCCATTGGCATGGGTGGTGTCTCCACAGGCATGCCAAGAAGTCTCCTGAGGGTGCTCAGGCTGTGGAGCTGGGAGCTACACACTGACACAAGCACTGAACAGAAACACTGTAATTTCTTACACTAAGACAGTTATGAGGCTCTGCCAAATTCATAATAAAATCCATACATTATAGGAGTTTGGGAAATTTCCACTCATGAAGACATTTATTCTTAGATGAATTCTTAGGCAGGTAGAAAATAATATTTCCAGGTATGTTCTTGGCAAGAAAATGAGGACACAGCCACTGGGACATGTGTTGGGCGAATGCAAGGCTTCTCGGGGACTTACATGGAAGACCGCTGGGGCCGCGGGGCGCCACTCACCTGTACGTGTAAGGACCCCGCTGCTTCATCTTTATGCTGCTGCTGTTGGCTGCCACTTCCTCCGGGTTCTGCACATCGAAGATCCAAAATTGCCGGTAAACCTCTGTCCCTGTTTTGACCCAATTTTTGAAAGCAAGTGTTCCTTCCTGGAGGACAACTTCCTGCAAGAAAGCAATGTTTGAGTCACTTCTTCATGGCTCCAACAAGCACTGGAGAGGGCTTGTCGCATCCGGTCAGGCAGGAGGTAGGGAGCAGCCTCGAGGGCCTGGCTCATAAGCACACTTATTGCCTGGCCTCGCACTTGGAGAAGGAATAACTTCAAAGCCTGGGGCAGTTCCTGGGTTAGCCTGTCAGGAAGAGAAGCTGTGTATGGGAGCCGGGGCCCCTGGGCCTACTGGGGCCTTCAAGAGCTGCTCCTGCAAGGTGGCAACAGGCAGTAGTGCAGCTCATTAATGAAGGTGTTACAGACGGTCTTACTGGGTCAGATCTGTGGCGCCTAAGTAGCTCTACGGACGACACAGAAACAGAAAAGAGAAAAATCTCGTAACATCGATAGGCTTCTTTTACTTTCCTTTTCTTTGATTTTTTCCAGAAGTGGGGCACCTCAAGGAATGATTCACATTTATATGAAATGAAGAAAATAATTCCTGTGGGTGAGAAGCACAGGATTCCTGAGCCTGACTGCGTTTGCGTGAGCAGGCTGCTGAACAGCTGAGATGACCGGCAGGCCCCCTGCGTTTCCGTGTTGTTGCTGCACTTCAGAAAGCACTACTCCGCATCTCCAGAACCTGCAACCAACTTGCTATCATTTGTCTGCTTCTTTTCAGAGAAGCCACAATTAGGAAGCCTTTACTACTCTGTGTGAAATCTGTTAAAAGTCACAAACGCTCTCGGCACTGAAAACAGACAAGTGGAATGTATACCAGTGCGCACATTAAAGCCCTGTATTAGCAACCTGGCCCTTGCTGCAGTGCCTTTGGGACCAAGTGGAAAGTCACAACCCCCCGGGTCCACTTCATTATCGGTAGGGCGAAGCAGTTACCATAGATGCTCTCCCAGGTTCTTTCCTGGCCTTTTCATCTCTGAGCAGGGTGTCTGAATTGCTATAGCAATGAGAGTAAGCAAGAGAGTCTCTTTTTTTTTCTTAAGGTGGTAGGATTTCTATCTAAGCCCTTTGGGAAGTCTGCCCAGGTTCAAGAGCTCCAGCTTACCGAGTACGCAGGAGGAAGAGGAAGAAAGCTGCTTGACAGAAAATGAACTAAAGAAGCCCACAAACACGGAACGCCCTGACCTATTTTTGTTCCTTCACCAGGAAGAGCCAATTCATGGAATGGTGAGATCAAGAAGCGACAGAGAACATCTTCTATTAGAGCACACAGCGCAGGAGCAGCCATGCGGCTGGCCCACCATGACCAGTCAACGGGAGCGCAGTCAGAAGCAAACTGCCAAATCCCCGATGCTAACATTTACTCTAACACACATGGGGCTGCTGCTGGCCTTGAAGCCTTTTTCTCTGTCACCCACTGCACTTAGTTGGTAGAAGTCAAATCAAGACTGGGATCGCCGGGATATTATATCACACACTGCAGAGAGCTCCGTGGAGAGCAGCAGGGCGTCCAGTTAAACTTCAGTTGCAAAACTCTGCACCGCTGCGATCCAGCCGGACTGGGAGCAGAGCCTGCTCCAGTGGTGTTCCAGTTTCTCCTGCCTCTACAACAGCTTGTCCTGAGAAAACTTTTCATTTACTCCCCAGAATGCTTATTTCTGCACTAATGAGTCCCATAGCAAGACCAAATTGCCTTCATTATGAGTTTTCTTCTAACAGTAAAATTATGAATATTGCAGTTGGTTGCATAGGAAAGGCCAACTGTGTTAGTTCCGCTACTTTTAGTGTCTATGTGAAGGAAGAGAACATGCACAGAGTATTTACACCCTGTGAAATCGTAGGGCCTGAAGCAACATCTATTATTTATCTGTGTCTCTCCAAGTATATTTTATTTAACTCTCCAATAATATCTTACAGAATGGAAAAGTTTGAGACATAATGTGTCTGACCTAAGAGAGCACCCCTCCAAGTCCCCAAATGTACAGCCAGCTCCCAGAAGACACCCTAAGAGTTTCATTCCTTTTTTTTATTTTAGGGAAGGGTCTACAGAGTGTTCAGGGTCTCACTGCTAGATCAGACTCATAGTGATCCACCTGTTTACAGCCTCCCAAGAGCTGGGATTACAGGTTTGCTCCACCACACCCAGTCTCAATTGCCATCTCAGTGCGCCCCAGGGCTAGGGCCAGCATGGCAGGCCTGGGGATTGAATTCCCAGCCCCTGTGCCTGCTTGCAGGCACTTTAATCCTCTGAGCTACTTGGTCAGCTCTCTCCCTTTTTCTTTTAATGGCTATGTATCACTTGATTTCTTGTTCGAGATTAATGATGGAAAATTGAAATTTGAAAAGTGTAAACAAATGCAGGGAATTACTGGGTGTTAAGAGTTACACCACCAAAAGTTTCAGGTATAGAAAATGGATTCAAGTAAAACAAATTCTAATTCAATGTTTTTTCAGCAATTGTGCAGCAGATAGTAAAAAAAAAAAAAGCCCCCAAAATCCAACTATTTTTCCTCCATCATTACATAGTTTCTAGTACTCTGTGATGTAGTCAAAGAGAAAAAGAAAATTTCAAAGTAGGCAGAAGTATAAGTGTATCTCTTCTGTTGCTAATAAACTATCTGGGTTAGAGAATTGTTTACCTGCTCCTTGAAAATGAAGTTTTCAATGCCAAGAAGTCCTTACTTTTCTTCTCTTTTCTTTCTCCCCCCCCCCTTTTTTTTTTTGTATTTTAGGGAAGGTCTACAGGGTGTTCAGGGTCTCACTACTAGATCAGATTTATAGTGATCCGCCTGTACCCCAGCACCAAGAAAAAGCTAGAGAATGGAGGGAGAGAAGTAACTGCGTAGTTGAACTATGGAAGAGTTAATCCTCAGTGCTTTTACAGGAAAAAGAACCTCTTAATTTACTTGAATTTAACAGGTAATTGGAAACTTGAGATCTATTTGAAATGATCTTTTGTATAATATTCACGAGCATTTTATCAAGTGACGCTAACAATATCAATGTTTAAGCTATCTTTTCCAAAGGTGGCAGGACTCTGACCCTTCCAAAGTTCTTTGGTGGTGCAGGCACTTACAGCAGCTCACACCTTTGGCTTCCAGTGCCTCCAGAAAGGTGGCATAAGCTTGCTGCTGAGTGGGCACCGACCTCCGAGGAGTCGCGCTAGGAGTGCAGGGGCAAGCTGCTGGGCCTTGCTTTTGCGTCACTCATTTATTTCCAAATTATCACCGTTCATGTTTCAGCTACTGCTTCTTAATTTTCACCAGCCAGAGAACATTTTATTCTGTCTTTTCTTGAGTTCTTGTTGCCTATTAAATTTCAAAATTATGCACTTTGGCTTCTATTTCTTCATCTCTTTCTGTCTCTCTCTTTCTGTCTCTCTCTTTCTGTCTCTCTCTCTCTCTTTCTTCCTTCCTTCCTTCCTTCCTTCCTTCCTTCCTTCCTTCCTTCCTTCCTTCCTTCCTTCCTTCCTTTCTTTCCTACATGCAGTCTCACCACGTAGCCCAGCTTGGCTACCTCAAACTCACTTTGTAACCCAGAGTGGGCCTTAACTCACAGTGATCCTCCTGCCCAAGCTTTTTGAGGGCTGGGATTATAGGCAAACACTATCACATCCAACTTATTTCTTCATATAAAATAATTTCTTTTCCAGTTTTACAGTTCTGCTTGTCTTTGATTATGGACAAATAACTTAAAATCCTTAAAGTAACTAGCCAGCCTGCATTTTCCCCACATTTAGACTCCCTAGTAAACAAACCCTTTGGGGCTTATCTGTAATCTCTACAGCACTGAGCAAGTCTCTCGGAGGCCTGACCTTTGAAATACAGAGCGATGTTCACGTCAAACCTCCCTGTCACCTGTTTTCCACTGCCCTGGATATCTGTCTCTCTTGGTGACCATCACGGCTTCTGTTTATTTGTGTGCTTCTGTCCTCCTTGGGTCACTCTCTACCCTCCTGCTGTACCCATCCTTTGTGACTTCTCCACAGCTGGACAGAGCCCCTTCTGAAGGAGCTGCAGAACAGGCCGTTCTTTCTCCTTCACAGCAGTCCTGAGCTCACAGCTTTGTGCTCGCTTCCCCTGCTCAGAGCTCCCAGCAGAGGTGTGATCTTCATCCTAACTGGGTCCCTGAGCGACTCCTTTCCTGTTGGCTGCTGGCTTGACGAACTCAGAGAGCTCTTTCTCCTACAAAATGGGCAAATTCATTCTGCCTTCTTATAGTTTATGGAGATTAACTGACTTTTTACATAGGAACCTCGTAATAAACTCTGAATAAGTGTCAGGAATGCGCCGCCAACAACACTCTCCAACTTCAGGTTCTGTTAGAGTCTTCCTGCCTGAGGAACATCCTTGCTGTGCTTTCAGTTATGTCATCAATTAAACTTCTGGGGAGAGTATACAGTGCCTCAAGCCTAAACTCATGTTGCTTTTCTCCACACGCTCTTGGTAATCCCGCGTCCCTGGGCTGTGCTTTATTCTGCTTCCCCAACCTGTCTGCACTCTGCCAATCTATCCTCTCCTGCCCCCCAGCGCTTCTGTGTCTCAGATTCCTCACTGTAAATCTCACATCAAGACCCACCTCTTCTTGAAGGCTCTCCATTCCAGGGAGATTTCTTCCTCCACATAGCGCTTTGCTCTTCTTATTTTTCATAATTCAGTTCCAAAATCTGGTGAATCTATTTTTTTCTTCATGATGTACTTTTGTCTAGTTGTATCTTACACTTAAAATGTTGTTCATTTTACAAAAAAAAATCATTTAACAGTGTCCTAACCAGTACAGAAAGGCCCTCTGTTGTTGTACTTGTTATTCTGAAGTGAGGTCTCGCTATGTAACTCCCACTGGACTCAAACTTCCTCTTTCAGCCTCAGAGTAAGGATGGCATCTTTGTGACACCTCACAACTTTTAGAATTAACTTTCATAAGCTGAGAGATACATTTTAGAGAATTAACCTGAAATGGGCACTTGTACTCCAAGGCTAGCCAAAGGAGCCTATGTGCCCTAATTGTGTTGCATGAACAAAAAATTAGGCAGTCGATTTTTAAGTATTGATCATTGATGATGGGTAAGAATAGGGCTTTGTCTAAATGGTGCACACTGAGAGCTGATTTCTTTATAGTAGTCTTTCAAAAGTGAAGTGACAGTCTGCATGCCAACGTAAGGAACCAGAGATCCAGAGCAGAGACGATGTGGGAAGGCAGTGGGGACGCCCTCTCACAGCACCCTCCAGGCCCTCTTGCATCTTGCCTCTGTCCTGTCGGCCTCTGCCGGGAATGGCAGGAATCCCACAGTGGGGAACATGTTTCCATTTACAATCCTATGCATTGAATACATAATGTGATGGATAATGTATTATTTGCATACACACATAAGTATGTTTTTTGTTAAACACACAAAGTTGAAAATCTGTAGCCTGTTAGAAATGGAAGAGTTAGAAATGGCTAATTAAAAACTACCACATGCGAGTATGAGAAGGGTTGCCTTCAGCCATTTGCCCTAGTTCTTGATAGAAAGACAATAGTTAAAATGGTACAGAGGATTATTTTAGCTTCAATCATTTAGCCTCGTTAGGTAAGAAAGATCAGAAAGATATAACTGCTTGTTCTAAGGAGGCAGCTTTGTCTGACCCCAGGTGCTGGACAGCCACATGCCCACACCTTCAGGAGGGACAGCGACCCTGAAGATGGCAGCACTGCCTGCCCGCCCCCCCTTCTCTCCGCAGCTTAATTTCTGTTTAATCCCTCTCTCCAAACTCCTGGAGCCCCTGGAATCTACTGTCCCTAGCTTCAGTTGGCAGCAGATCTACTTCCGTCATACTATCCTTTAAATTTTCTATTAGTACACATTTGTGATACATAATGACTCTATTCATTGTGATAATTAATCATTCTATTCAATAGATACATCATGATCTATTCTATTCGGAGATTCTATTCATTCTATTCACTGTGGGGAGTTGGTACAGGTACATGAGATATGTTAATTCTTTTTCCACCCCTTCCCTCCCCCGGCCTCATGTCTTTGTGTCCTTTACATTTACAAAAGATTTGGCTCCTGTTATTATTTATCTTTCAATTTGTTCTGAATGTATTTATACTTTGAGTTTATTAGATAAGTAACTCGATATTTAAGCTTTTCTGATTTATGTGTCTCACATATTTCACCTATTATTTTGTCAGTTATAATTTCAGGTATCCAAAGTCAGAGTATGCCAGGGTAGGAGATGGTTTTATGTAAATTTTGTCTGTTGAATTTCTAATGTTAACTGAAATTGTAGTTATTTGTATATAATCTTAGATATGTTCTACATAACATATTCCTGAATTTTTTCCTACAGCATTTTCTGGGTGAAATATAAGCTTTGTAAATAGGAAGTATTTATAAATTGTGAAAATATTATACATATTTTAAATAGCAATTTTCCAGTTTATCCAAGTTCCCTGTTTTAATATTACATTTGTTATTTATTGAACATACTTATATAAACACATATACACATATACACATAAGTATATGTACACACTGGTGCACATACACACACATACACACACATACTAAATAACTCCACTTTCTCTGTATTAACCAAATAGCAATGCAACTTTTATAAACATCTTCTTACAAACTGTTCTTATTATTTCTCATTCAAAAGCTTGTCAACATATTCTTTGGACATAATTTAAAACAGTTTCACCTATGAACCTACATACCACATATTGTTTCGATCAACATTTGCGTTTGTATTTAAGACTGGAATGTGTTCACGCTAAACAGACACCAAACTCGTAGCGCATCTCTCGCGGTCAGCTGTCACTACAAGGGCAGTGATTCCTGAATCCCGCTGTGTTGAAGGTGAAAGTGTCGCTGTTACCCTGAGACACACGCAGGCTGCCAGCCAGGACAGAAGGAACCTCCTCGGCCGCCACCTACCTTCCGGATGGTCTTGGACACCAGCATGTCCCCCACCGGCATGAGGACCCCTCCCAGCACGGCCAGCACCGCGCCGATCACGGCCCCCGCGATGAGCCCGCAGTTCCTGTCGCAGCCCATGTTTCCTCTGCGGTCCGAGTCCCAGCTCTGATTACGGTTCCTTCTGTGTGGTCTGCTTCTATCTTCACTGCAAGATCATAAAACCAAAGTTGAAGCAACAGCACCAGAAGACCAAAGTACAAAGATACACAAAACCGGAGCAGACCATTTGGCCAGCTATAAACACTTTTCTGTTTTACCAAACTGACTTCCTAGGTTCTTCTCCCAGGGCCTGCACCTAGCTACGTGCCAGAGGCACTGTCACGGGGAGCGCTTCTTGAGAAGTCTCCTCTTCCCTCCTCTCCTGTGGATGATTAAGGCTGCGGAAGGAGAGCCGGGCGCTTGGGCTCTCTCCCTCACACCTCCCCTGCCCAGGTGAGCGCCTGCCTCGTCTCCTCCCAGCATCTCCACGCACGCACAGCCATCTCCATCTGATGGGAGGTTCTGCAGGGCAAGGCCCGGAGCTGGCGCCTGCTCTGGTCCACGGCTAAGCAGGTAAGGTAGTAAGAGGCTTCTCTTACTTACCTTACGCAGAAGGAGACAGCGAGGTACAGCAGGAGCTTCACAACAAGTAAGCGAATGAGCCTCAGGATGAGTCGGTTCTTCTGATCATTTATGAGCTACCTGAGGACAACAGAAAGCTGAGGAAGTAGGGGAAATCCACTGGCTGAAAATAAATACTAGGACGTGTCTCATATCACAACAATCATAACTGATAGAAGAAAATTCTATTTATAAATACAGAGTTGATGGCTTAAATGTTTATCTTTTAAGCAGTATGGAAAATGCTGATTAAGGTGCATTTCCTTTTCAAATAAAGTGCATTTTATTTTTAGTTTCATTGTGAACGAATTTTAGGTAGACTAGGTGAGAATTTCAGTTAGACTGTGTAGACTAGGTGAAGACAATGTACAGTGTAGAAGATGGTTTGTTTTAACAATAGGTTTGCTTTTTCACTTGTTTCTGTGTGTGTGTGTGTGTATATATATATATATATATATGAATATTAATACACTGTTATACAGAATCATTCAGGCCAATTTTATTAAAACCAACTAGGTTTTGGTATATATTTCACAGCTCATCTTACTTGTGATATCATTATACAAGATGGTTAGTATAGAAAGGAAGAATAAAAGCAATTTATGAATGCATGGACCTTGTACCAATAAAATTAAGAAGAATATATCACTTCAGATCAATACTGGGAAGCCCATTCACTTGAGCTATATTGATTGTAAAATCATTTTCTTAAATGATGAATTTGGCCTGTCGCTGATACAGTCAGACCATGTTTTATAGCTTATAAACTAACACCCTTTACTTCAAAATCCACATGGCTAAGGGAAATCCACAGATTTGGTGCTGTGGACCACAGGAAGGCACCAAAAGACGTTGCCAACACAGTCAGTGAAGCAGTAAAGATGCCCTTTATTCAAGGCCTCAGTTAAGCTTCCCTAATGAAAACAGACAGAAGTTTCTTTTTTCTTTTCTTTTCTTCTTTCTTTCTTTTTCTTTTCTTTTTTTATATTTTAATAGCATCTACAGGGTCTCACTATGTAGATCAGACTTGTAGTGATCCCTCCTGTTCTTCAGCCTCCCAAGCACTGGGATTACAGGTGCATGCCACCATGTCCAGTCTCAATTGCTGTCTCAGTGTGCCTTGGGGGCGGAGCTGGCATGGCACACCAGGAACTGAACCCCCAACCCCTGTGTCTGCCTAGGCAGGTGCTTTAATCCACTGAGCTATCTGGCCAGTCCAGAAGTTTCATTCCTATGATTTAATTACTACTTGTTTTTATTTGAGGACCCACTTCATTTTTTAAAAGCATCACTGGTAAGGTCAAGAAAATAATAATGAGTAAGGTTTTACCCTAAAGTAGAGAAATCTAAGCTTTCTTCTTGGCAATTTTGTCATGTATTCTCCATTATGCCTCTGGCTTTCTCTTGGCTGGTGCCACTATAGTTAGGATGCCCTGAGAATCCACACTCGTCCACAAGGCAGCACTGATAACTAAGAAGCACGGGTTCCCCAGGGTCACACGTCTGCTTTGCAAGTAAAAGGGAAACATGGAAGACAAAAGAAGTGGTTCATTTTCACTGTGAATCTCTGTGTCTTACTGAACACGTGGAGCTGGCTCTGTTAATTGCCTGGGTTGGAGGGGGAGGATCAGACAAGTCCAATCTCTGCTTTTCAATTCACGTAACAGGTTTCCTCCTATGGCCTTGGCCAGGGCTGTCAGAATCCAGCAGAACAAGATCCTTAAGGCTGATAGGCACTGAACATGTCAAATAGAATCTATTTTGCCAAATATGATAAAGCACCTTAACCTTGTCTTGAAACAATCTTTTAAGCAATCATAGTATTGCTAAATAGAAAATAAATTTGCTAATATTCTATATGCTGCAAACCAATGATCTTTTTCACTGGATGCACTTAAGGCAGCCATCAGAATGAAGGGGCCTCCTTGTGGGACAGGGATCTGAGAGCAGGAAACTGGAGGATAAATCATGGACTGGCCACCCTCTTGCCAGGAACAACAGGAAAAGCACTGAGCTCTCTGCCCCTCTTGTGCTTCATGTACGAGACAAAAGCTAAAATGTGACCAGAGTGTTAATGTGAAGAGCTGAACCAGCCCTTCACTTCAGTCTTATGCAGAAGACCAGCAGGTGCGTGCGCATGACGGCATCATAGCAGTGACAAGCCGGAGACACCCTGATTCGGTGCTAGCCCTGCTCCAGGCTCTCCTTGTCACTGTATAGGAAGCCTTAGAGAGCTTCAGAAGGGAGCTCCAGACCCCAATCCCGTTCAGTCAAGGGGGCAGGAAATTCTACACCCAGCTCTAGTTTTGTGACTACCAGGTGAATCTGTGTAAGGAAACATAACTCAAGTATTTAGTCATCTCTTTTGGAACTTTATTTGATGTCCTGGATCAATTTCAAGGAAAGTTGCTTATTCAACATTGCTATCATTTCTAGCTTCCACAGATCGAATACAGAAGATTTGAAAATGACAGTTATATCGTGATGCGATAGATCCGTGTGCATGCATCTGCCCCGTTCTACCTCCTGCGCCACACCCTGGCTGGGAATCTGCCTGGCCCTTCATGGAAGCATTCTTCTTTGCTCAAGTAGATCCATGTACTACAGACTTTCCTCAAGGGGCTACTGGTCCTGCATGCTTCTGCTACATACGGCAGGACAGTGGCGGCTTTACTCCCCTGACACAGAAGAGGGCCAAGCGGATCTTAGGTCCTAACCACATAGATGTTCAGTGTACACGGCAGCTTTGTGTCTGTCTTCACATTGTCTCTGCTTTTGTTTTCACCTATGTTGTTTCTGGTTTTCCGTAACATTTTGGTGTTAAGGTATGCACAATACGGGTCTAGGACATTCACTTTTATTAACATAGGGTTTTACTTATTAAAGTAGGTGATTATTTTATTTGATAACTTTAGGTTAGGTTTTGCCTTATGCTTGCTTATGGTTCAGGAGAAACAGACCAGGCTCTGGTATCTGTAATACTCACTTCCTGATTACATTGCTCCAATCTAGACATAAGGCAAAGGATAACTGTAGATACAGCAATCCAGGTCAATGGATGAAAAAAAAGGAAGCGAAAACAACAGGGCACATTTTACAATCTCACTGATTACCCACCTGCCTTGATTTGCTGGGTAGATCATTTGCAGTCAAGACAGTTTATACGGTATATAAAAGGATTGCTTTTGTAGAACTCCTGAGTAGTTTCTAGTCCCTTAGGCTGACTTGGAAAGAAAGAAAGATTTAGGCCTTCTTGCTTTCTATCAGATGAACACAGTAGTGCTTGTATAATAAACTTCTGGATGAGGTGGCCTTCTTCGCACTAGGGCTGAGCCTCCCTCCCTTGCAAAGCCTGAGGTCAGCTGAGCAAATAGAATGCTAGTGCAGACCCATGAGAGTCTATTAATTATTGCCATCTTCTTGGGAAGCTCCACTCAGAACAGACATGGCCCAAGGTAACAACTGCTAACATATGAATCAGGAAATGAGGAAGAGTTCAGGTTTCTGGGTTACTTATACCAAAGAGCATCACCACCCGCATTGTTCTCAATGACCCGCGGTTAGCTACAATTTCCTACTCTCCGTTTAAGCCCCTCTTCTGATTTCTCTTATGCTAGAAAGCCAGACCACACACATTTATTTCCACCATGCACATAGGATTCTTTTGAAACATAGAATCCTCACCTAAAAAAAACATATCACACACCTCTAAAACCCCAGTTACCAAAGGTTCTTAATTCAACAGGTTAATTGTGGATGTAGGAATCAGTTTTTAAAATATATTATCTTCCTTTACACAGTATGACCATACATCATTTCTATGTGTGATTTTCGTGCCCCGGGTCCCTGCACAGGAGGAGGACATGTTCAAATCCAGACTGGAAAGAAGGGGTTTGAATCAGTCGCTGAAGTCTGGGTGGCTTGTCACACGTGCACAGGAAGCCCATACATCAGTCCTTGTGCACATTGTTCAGACACAGACTAGTCCTTCCAGGTTAAATTCTGCACACCGGCTCCATGTATGAAGACTGTCCTGAAGGCCAATCTGGCAGGAAAAAGAGCAAGACCAGAGCCTTGCACCCAAGCAGCAGTGTGCCTCCCGGTCCTCTGAGCTACCCCGGACCCCACAGAGCACTTCCTTCAGAAAATAGAAAGCAAACTCTTACGGTTCAAATGAATCTGAGTGATTATGGCCAGATTTTTCACAAAAATAAGAACAACACTAATTTCTGAGATAAATTCCCAAGCACTGAGCACACTCCATACAAGCTCTCGTCCCACTGTGATTTCTCCGGGCTCATCTGTCGTGAGATAGTTCTGTATCTGGTTAGCTTTCTGTTTTGGGATGACTCTTGCCTTCCTGCAGTTACCACAGTCCCTGGCTTACTTTCATTTGTATCCTTTCTGTCTCTATAAAGGTTAACAATAGTACAAAATATATAGATATATGTAATGTAAAGCAATAACATACCTTACTAAATTATACTTATCAAATATTACAATTAAACCATACTTTTGTGACAATCCAAAAAATGCTACAAGTATGCAGCATTTCATATCATATGAAGCCTGTCTTTTAGAGAGTTATAAACCAGGAGTTACCATGTGTTTAAAATAATTCTTTAGTCACATTCATTTAAATAGGATTATCTAGAACCATTTTTAGTCACTGATCCCTAGATAGAAATGCTATTTATTTTTTCTTTCCTCACCCAAGATTCTCACTAAAGTTTATAGTGGTGAAGATCCTGATCTGGGGACCAGCCAAATAACTCAGCAGTTTAAAGCTCCTGCAAGCAGGTGCAGGGACCGGGGTTTGATCCCCAGGCCCACTGTGCTGGCCCCACCCCTAGGACACGCTAAGATAGCAATTGAGACTGGGCATGAAGGCTCACTCGTAAACAGGTAGCTCACTATGAGTCTGATCTTGTAGTGCGATGCTGAACACCCTGTAGACCCTTCCCTAAAAATAAAAAAAAGAAAAGAAAAGAAAAGAAAAAAAGATTCTGAGCTGGAATTCAGAAAATATGGATTCACTTCTGGGTGTTTATGGGTCAGTAGGAGTTTATTACATCTCAAGGGACATTGCAAGGGTTAAATCAAATGCTGTATGAAAATTCTGGGTGGCAAGAGAGCTCAGTGGATTAGGCTAACACAGGAACCAGGGTTCAAGCCCTGGCTCCACATGCCATGCCAGTCTCACCCCTGGGTACACTGAACTGGCTAGTGAGTCTGGGTGTGGTGGCACATGCCTGTAATCCCAGAACTTGGAAGGCTGAAAAGATTTGGATCACTACAAGTCTGAGCTGCATGGTGAGACTCTGTTACAAAATACATAAATTTTAAAAAAAGAAAGAAAATTCTTATCATAGAAATGGTAGTTTGAAATATTATTGAGTAGCATATTATGCAACTCTACAATAACAGCCAACTGTTATTTCAAATGAGTTGCTATTGTAAAGAGTCAAATAAATGCGCACTTCTTATACAAATAGCAATGACTGTTCCTAGAACAAGTAAAAGAGGATGGTGTATACCATGCAAATGCTTTTATATGACACTAAAATACCGTGTAAGTGGAAAGGAAGCCACTGTGTCAGGACAAGACCCTTTGCAAGCTCTACCCTATCTTGGTCCAGTGAACTAAAAAGTTTGTGATTAAATCAGAAAATAACTGCAGAATTAGTTCCTTCAGAAAATAGAAAGCAAACTCTTACGGTTCAAATGAATCTGAGTGATTATGGCCAGATTTTTCACAAAAATAAGAACAACACTAATTTCTGAGATAAATTCCCAAGCACTGAGCACACTCCATACAAGCTCGCGTCCCACTGTGATTTCTCCGGGCTCATCTGTCGTGAGATAGTTCTGTATCTGGTTAGCTTTCTGTTTTGGGATGACTTTGACAGATTAAAAGATTTCCACTTAGTTTTTCCTTGGACAAACTCCAAAAAGCCAGTGGATTCTCTCCACAGCAACGCTAGCTAAGGATTTCGCTTTTGTTTCCTTGCAGACAAAGATACTTAAAGCAGTATTTTCTTTCAACTTCGAAAGACTTTCCAGACTGAAAAATATAAGAGATTTGTATTTCCTGAAAATCTGTGCAAAATGTCATTTAATATATTACTTGATGACCCAAGAAACCATTGAGTTTTCTCTAGAAAATTTATGTGACCTATGAATATTTGTAAACTGACTTACTATAGTTTATTAAGTGTTTAGTTAATTCATGCAGTAAACATTTTCCTCCACTTAAGCTCAGTATCATCATTTTAGAAATAATTTGTTCATGTATGCAGTAAGTGTAAATAGTCAAACCCATTAATTTTTGGTTTATTTTTATTTAGTTTCCAAGTTTTGTACTAACTACACTACCTAAACTTCTACTTATTGTACAAAATAGATATATTTTTCCACTCAAAATAGCAATTTTACCTTTGTTCATTAAAATATGCTTCAAATATACAAACCTAAAATACCTACTGAATTAAACATGTAAACAAAAATTAAGTTTACCAAAAATCCTTCAACTTACCTTGAAAATTGAACAAGCTCAGGACACTGCAAAACAATGTCCTTCATACTTGCATGCTACAGAACTGGCGAACACAGTTACAAGTCATTTACAAATCTCATCTCATTGTATTGATTTTCATTTATCATGATCACCATATTTTAAATTAAACATAAGGTGCAAGTAGCCTAAGAATAAAGTGAAGATTTTTCCAAAATTAAATTGGATTATCAGTCATTTTAATATTAATAATTAATTACAAGTAAACATAATACTAAGCATCAAGAAGTGAAATGTCATTGGCCACTGAAGCCAGGGTTAAGAGCATTTAAACATAAAGTATAAGAAGAGTCACAACTTGGAAAAGAAATTCATCTTGAAAGAAAACCTAGAAATCCTTTTATAGTTACTACATTTTCTTCTCCTTATGATACAAATTCCCAGGAGTATTTATATTCTAGTGTCATCTTGCATTATGCTGCAGATAGACAAATCTCCATTTTTCTTAAAGAAAAAAGTCATATATGACTTACCTTTCTAAACATTAAGAAGGAATTCTCTGTCAAACACTCCGATAGTTTCAATGGGCAATTCTCCCCAGGACCAAAGGCTATGCTGCTGAAAAGTCTACCCTGAAGTCTTCATTACTTATGTGTGTGAGAGTTTAAGTATGCCAAAAAAAAAAAAAAAAAAAAAAAAAAAAAAAAA